CCGGTAGCCCGGGTAGAAAAGACCCAACATCCGTAGCAAAGGGCAACATCTTTTCCTTCATGCCATACCTACATTTCGAGACTGATCGGCGGCGGCAAGAAATGCAGGCTGCGATCTCGAGGACGCAGAAGATGAAAGAGCGGGAGAAGAACGAAGGTGGCACTTCCAAGCCACAGTATTACCGTGCATCAACTTATGACGAGATGCTATTCAGGGCTCACTTGACATCCTCACAAGTTTCACTGCACGTGCGACGCACGCTCGACCAGTTCTTCTACCACAATATCGACACGCAATCCCGAGATCGAGACCAAGTCGTCTATCGATATCAATGCAAGTCGAACGAGCCGCAACATGTTGACCCGAAGATCTTCATGGTCGATCAGCTATGGATGTGGACGCTTGGCAAAGACTTGATCGTGACAGCCTTCCCTCAAAGATGGCAGCAGCCTCGCAACGACCCGCTCAATGTCCTCGATGGAGTCATTGAAGACATTAATAGCAAGACAAGAGATCCGGTGCGTAGCGTGTACGATCTTGCCATGATCATTACCGGTCGATGTAGTGGCGTTTTCGACAGACATCGCGTTGGCGACGAAGACTATCAGTTTCTCGATATGTTCGAATCAAGCATCGGTGATGCTACTGAGATGGAAACCATGCTTTTCAAAGAGTTCAACACAGCGTCCGCCCAGGCCTCGGCTTGGCTACAGCATCACCGCCGGCCCAATCGCTTCTCTAGACATTTAGAAGCCGAGGGAAGACAGAGAGAGCACTTGAATCGCCGGCACACATCGCATCATTCACACTCTCACTCTCATGCGTTGACTGACCCTCCAGTTCCGGAAGAGGCATTTGACTACGACGACAGTGATCGAACGGCCGCCCATGCCCCGCTCTTTGTTGATAAACTACTAGACATCGGCGCTGAGACAGACTTGCTGGCTGAGACGAAAGACATTCGCGACGAACTCAACATGATTTCAAAGGTGCTGGAAGATCAACGCACCATACTGCCGGACATGGAGACGAGCATCACAGACATATATCGTGAAGAGCACAAGAGTCAACAGGAGCTGAAGAAGCGATTCAAGGATATGACGAAGACAGTAGACACGCATATCAAGGATCTCGAACGCATGGACAAGCAAGCCAAGCGCATCTACGAATCCATCACCGACCTACTCGATCTAAAGCAGAAGCACGCCAACGCATTCGAGGCACGCTTCGCCCGCGACCAAGCTGCCGGTACTGCAAGACAAAGCCAGACCATCATGGTGTTCACCATTGTCACAATCATCTTCCTCCCTCTATCCTTCATCGCAGCCATGTTCACAATCAACATCCAAGAATTTCCGCATCGCCCCGGCAGCGACGAGCCTTCGCTTCCTCTCTCATTCGTCAGCAAGTACATGTTCGGCATCGGCTTCGCTATCTCCATCCCGTTCATCGCCATCGCACTATCATTCGACGCCATCGGAGATTTCTTCCGCGAAGTCAAGCGCCGCTTCCGCGAGCGCAAGGCTCAGAATCGGCAGAGCCGGCATGATTTCAACGACGCTTATAGCGGTATCGAGAAGACAGATTTCGAGTACCCCTTCGATACGCGCACTATCGAACAGGCTCTGAGTCGCGGCCGTAGTACGGCATACCGCCCCGACGGAAGGCGCAGCATCGAAAGCTATCTTGGCAGTGCGAGAGCGAATCACTGGGGTGATGGTGGCTCGTTGCTTCCGGTTGCTAGTCGCAGTACGGGAAGGAGTCCCGAGAAGGGTGCTGTGAGGATTGCGAATGGCTTGAATGGCACGACTGCGATGGCTAATCGGTTGAGTGTGGATAGGGCTGAGAGGCAGAGTCCGATTGAGAGGATTAGTACTGGGTTTCGGATGAGGGGAAGTGGTGATTTTGAACGCGCGTAGATGGGGTGGTATTGCGCTTGTGGTGTTGGGAAGGTTTGGAAAATGCAGATACCCTAGCGCTGTTATGTACCGTCGCTGATGAATGAATAAGACACGTTACATTTTACGTTTTGTTCGCTGATGTGGTGTCCTTTGTTCAACGCGGTTGGGCTACCATGGTACTGTGATGAGACATTGACGACGAGCCGCACGCGACTGCCGAAACGCACACCGTACGCCATGGCCCCTTCCGTGTTTCTTTGCTCGGGATTGTCTCCCGGCTCTTCCCATTTCATCTTTTGAACCCTCTCGGTATACTTTACATTGAACTACCGCGTTACTCCGATATGTCTACAAACAGCCCGGAGACGACTGGAGCGTATATTGCTACCAACAATGAGCCTGCGGACAGCAAGAAGCGCCAGAATGAGTCAGTGTATGCTCACAGGGTTTTTAGAACCCATCAGCTAATAAATTTCAGAGCACATCAAGAAGAACAGGAAGCCGCCAACAAGTATGTACCGTCATACCACCGCCGGCACCGCGAAGTCGCTGACCGAACATAGGCGACGGATTCTAAACATCTCGCCATCCGAACTGTTTGACATACGGACCATAGCGCGGACCCGACGCAATGCAAAGCATGCAGAGGTTGTTGAGGAAGGCCGGCTCGCATGCCTTCAACTTTGCGCAACGCTGCATGCCACCCTACCTCGAGAACTGCGAGACATGGTGTACAGCGAAATCATCGGCCCATACTACCGCGAGATCGTCACCGGACACAAAGATCATAGAAGACACGTCATTCAGAGCACATCAATGGATTTCGTCAACCAGGAGATACGAGGCCTCAAGTATACTGAACAGCGCGGTCTGAAATGGTGGCTCGACAGCTACATGGGCCGCGAAGTAGCCACCGAGATAGTCGAACATTGGTACAAAGGTCGCACCTTCTGCTTCAGTCACCGTCGGTTGGACCTGATCACTGACTTCTTGGAACACGACGTTTTCTCCAAAGGCCTCAAACCAGGCCTTATCATCCAGCACATGCACGTTCACGTGGGCGAATACCAAACCAAGACTAGTTACTTCGATGAGCTCAGAGATACACTCGGCAAGATCGAGAACAAGGATGTCAACTTGCACATACGTCTTATCCACAGGACTAGCATGTCGGCTCGACGGCTGCAGCTAGAGAGGCTGGGTCCTGTTGTTTACCAGCTAAGAAAGGAAGGGCTGAGTCGCGTTACTGTACAGAGTTCGGGGTGTTGCAAGGACTTCACGTCGTTGTTTGATGTGGAAGAAGGGCTGTTCTTAGATCACCTGGTATGTTGCTGAAATGTCCGGTTTAATGTCTTCTAACAATGTGGTAGGAACTTTGGGCGTTGACGGCAAATCCCAACATCTGAACAATCGCTGGGCTCGTGTACATTGTGCGCTGTATGTACCCGGAGAGAGTGCAAGGGTCTCTATTAAAGAATTGTTAGGCAGGCAGAACTTTGAGTAGCCCTGGAATGAGAGCTATGCATGCTTTCATAACTCGTACGACTCGAATTATGTCTGCTACAGCCTCGGTTGGCTGATACCCAGGTACGCGTCCGGACTAGCGTCGTATTCCTTCGCGTCTTGTTGCCTGCATATTAATGACTCCGCCACAATTATCTCCTCGTTTTTGGGGATAAGAAGCGCTCGCGCCGCTAAAATTGAAGATGAACATTGGTTACATCTTGTGCTTACCAAATTCCAATAACTTCGCATGGGACTGACGGTCTGTTCCATTGGCTACTGATCCGCAATGAAAATCGGTCATCATGACTATTCACACGCACTGAAGCGGCGGATGTATGTTAAACGGTCTAAGTCTCGTGTATAGTAATATACGACTAACTGCAAGTAGAAAATATCCACATCGGGAACCTGATCCCAAACCTGAACCAGTCGAGTACGCTACACCCACTCCACGTAATACCCGACGTCTAATCGAATAACAACAGCCCGACCCGCTTACTTGCACTTCACGAAGAACATCGCCAATTCCAGCTCAAATTCTGTAAAGGATTCCGCGCAGTCCTTCCTCGCGAAGTGAGAGACATGGTCTACGACCATCTCATTCCTCCCCGCAGGCAACATTACGTTGTTGATTGTCGTGAGGTAGATACTGGAATACGCTCAAGTCGATATTTCCACCACGATCACGGTGGCCGATCTTTCTTCGACACTCAAACACCTCTACCTGAAGACCCTGCGATGCGTCGCGATATTTGGAGGTACGCCGAGTACACAGGGGAAGCGGTTGCAAAAGAAATAGCAGAGCACTGGTACCGCTCTGGCGGCTTCATAATTTACACCCCGGGTGCTTGCTTGCTAGGCACATTCCTCACGCAAGATGTCTGGAAAAGAGGAGTCGTGCCTGCGAATATCATCCGATACATACGCATTGATCTCAGCTGGGATCAGATTTGGGGTGGCTCCCAGCGTGTCGTGGCTGATCTGGAAAACCTTTTTATGGTGACTAACAAAGATGTGAAGATTATCTTCCAGATGGATAACCATGCAGGTGAGGAAGGATATTACCCCGAGCGCCCGCAGTGGCCTGTCCTGCGAAGTTTGTTGAAGGCGTTTGCGCCGAGTATTTATCGCTTGCGCGCTGCTGGTTTTGGTAGGATTAAGGTGTATCAGGGGGTTATTCGTAGGCTTTATGAGCAGTGGCCGTGGGATAAAAGTCATAGGGATATCACGAATTGGTTTGATCTGGAGGAGGATGAGTTTCGGAAGGTGTTTTTGACGGTAGGTCGTGATGTGCTGATGAGCTTGAGGATGTGTGCTAACGTATGGGCCAGGGGAGTGGTGATGATGAAGAGAGTAAACAGCGTATTGCCGATATCATATTGAAAGGTAGTGGCTGAAGAATATTGGTACTGCCGGAGACGTAGAAGATTGGGTCGGATTTGTCAAAAAAGAAAAAGAGACAAGGAGTTCTAAAGAGATCTGTTATTTTGTCGACAGACGAAGATTAGGATAATCTTGACTAAACACGTCAATATCCAGTACTTGACTCCACTCTCGAGAAAAATTGCATACCACAACCGCTGACATGATCAATCATGTAGTCTGCTCGCCTTTCGAGACCTCCAAGCACGCTAAGATAAGAGCGTCTATGTACGGCGCGTCCTGAAGCATTCTTGACTTACACAGCTGCTTTTCGTCTTCCGTTGCATGCTCGTGGAAGTTACAGCGATCTTGTATCTCGTTGCATAATGCATCCATTCCTTTGCCTTTGCTTGCAAGCTTGTGGTTGATGCGCACAACTTCTACTAAGAAATCTTGGGGCAGCGGTGTAGCCTCGAGTAGCGCTCGATAAGGGCCCCTGTAGTGGCCCCAATTCAGCGCAGCACTCTTGACGAAGTATTGACAGATGGTAGAAGAAGGAGGTAATTCTTCGAACATGAAAGCAATTGTTTCGGGGTCGGGAGCCAATCCATCTTTCGTAAGGTCGCTGAAGGCGCTGATAACGTCATTGCGCAATTTGACGCACTCGTATGCATCCGCAAAGCGATAGAGATGGAAGAGGCTGTTCAAAACATCGTTATTACAGTCGGAGTCAGCATTTGATCTGTTTTGATTTGTCTCTTCCATCATTGTACGCGTGTGAGCTGGGACATCAGCGTTCAAAGATCGGGTCATGCGCGCTGCAGGGCTTAACAGGGCTTTCACCTCACTAAGACCTGGAGGCGATCGAGTCGTTTGAATGTAGACCCAAGTCTGAAAAAGGCGAAAAGTCGTCTTAGAGGTCTCGGGAAGATGCAAGACGCCATCTTTGCCTTCTTTGAAGTTGGGTCCGAATGCGCGAGAGAAGTACTCAGACTGGCGGCGGAGGAGTTTCTTGTGAAATGTGAAGGGTATTTTATTGGTACCCACGGTCACACGTACCGTTTCTTTGCCGAGATCCCTGATCTTGTCAGTAACTGTAAAGACAAATTGAGGGGTTGCTCTACATGATGCGTGCTTTGAAATTGAATGGGAGGGTGCTGCGGAACTTGAGCGGTTGGGGGGCAAAGGTGTCAATTTAGGAGGTGGAGAAACCAGAAAGCTGAGGCAACGGAGATCGAGATCAAATAATCGTGGTGCGAAGGGCAGGTGCAGTAGCAAGAGGGTTCCACGGCCATGGCATCGTGAATGGGCGGTCCTGTGCTGCAGACGTTCAGTAATTCCCATGTACACACCGTATTCACCGTGATCAGTCTTACAGCTGCCTGCAAAGTATTAGAGATCTACCTTTCATTGATGGTCTAGAGAAGTGGGGTTGTAGGAGAAGGTCAATCGAGTGCCAAACGCGAACTCACATGACGCGACGCCAACGCCGGCTTATCTCCGCTCCATCGCCGAAGTCCAAGCTCCAAGCTTAGGCGTCACCACCGAGCAGGTACGCCCATAGCTACAGCCAAAGCCGCAGCAGAGTGAGAAGGAGCACTGAGACAGCGGGTGATCGCGCAAACAATGACTACGAGCCCACAATAGCTGAGAGCTACATCCCAAGCCCACCATGGCTTACGACACCTCGAGCGGTTATGCGCCGCCCAGCACAAGCAACATGCAGGAGGACGCCTCGGGCCCCATGTTCAGCATAGAGCGCGTGGCTTTACAATTCACAGTATCTTCCGACTTCGTAGCGGCTGCAGTAGCAAATAATGTCGTCGTCCTGGCTCTGTCCACCGGGCGCATCTTACGCATCGATTTGGACAGTCCCGCAGATATAGACGGTTCGTATAGCAATGCACACACCACCCGAAAGACTTGGACAGCCGCTCATATATTACAAGATATCGACCTCCCGAAGAAGCCTTCAGAAGTGGGTGTCATCAGACGCCTCTTTCTCGACCCCTCCGCATCCCACCTCATCATAACCACGACCCTCGCCGAAAACTACTACCTCCACACACAATCTCGGACACCGAAGGCGTTGTCACGGCTGAAGGGCGTTGTCATAGAGAGTATCTCGTGGAATCCCTCGCAACCCACTGCTTCGACGCGCGAGATACTCGTGGGAGCGTCAGACGGCAACGTTTACGAAGTGTATATCGAGCCGTCATCCGAGTTCTACAGGAGGGAGGAGAGGGTAACGTAGCTGCCACGGATAGCTCTTAAAATATCTTGCTAACTTTTTACTAGTATGTATCTCTCATGCTATGCTTTGGCAACGCGGTTCTAAGACATCTTATGATTCGCACTAACAGCTTGATAGATACTTGAAGAGCGTATACCGAACGAACGACGGCCCTATCACTGGGCTGTGGACGGATACGGTGCCCGGGAGAACAGATCTGCGGCGCATCATCGTCGCGACACCTTCCACTTTCCTACATTTCGCTGGCAAAGTTGGACGTCAGGGATCAGAAGGAAGCGGATCTATATTCTCGAAGCTGTTCGAGAGTGAATCTGCGACCGTACATGAGGTCTCCAATGTGGCCCCCACGGCAGCCTCACTGCTTGCTATCTCCCCGGAGAACAACGACAGCCCAAACCGCGAGGACTCCAACGCCGAGAGGATCTTCGGCTGGCTTACATCACAAGGCGTTTTGCATGGGAAGCTGTATCTATCACAGGATACTTCTGAGCTTGGCGGCAAAGTTCTTGGAGACTCAAAGATGTTGCCTAGATCACAGGTGCCGCCTTCACAAACCGCTAGCGGGCGCACACGACGGACACAAGATCCTGTCAGTTCGATGATATTGAGCCAGTGGCATATTCTTCAGCTAGTCGAAGGCCGGGTCGTAGCTATCAACCGCCTCGACGACATTGTTGTCCATGACCAAGTTGTGCTGGAGCCCGGACAAAGTGCGCTTGGTCTGGTAGCTGACTGGAAGAGGAATACTTACTGGCTCTTCACGAGCCAGGAGATCTTCGAGATCGTTGTCGAAGACGAGAGTCGCGACGTTTGGAAGATCATGCTCCGAGCACAACAATTCGAGGCTGCATCGCAGTACGCCAAAACACCAGCGCAGAAGGATGCAGTGGCAACGGCATCTGGTGACTACCTTGTTGGCAAGAGCCAGTGGATGGAGGCTGCGACTGTTTACGGACGAAGCACGAAGCCGTTTGAGCAAGTCGCGCTGACATTCATCGACAATGGCGAGCAGGACGCGCTACGGAAGTACCTGGTGACGAAACTGTCCACATTGAAGAAGTCATCGATAATGCAACGGACTATGGTCGCTACGTGGTTGATTGAACTATACATGGCCAAGCTCAATACTCTCGATGACACCATTACCACGAAAGCAGAACTCTCAGAGAGCATGAACACCGCCGAGACTCATGATCAACTATCAGTCATCCGGAAAGAGTATCAAGACTTTGTAGCCAAGTACAAGGCTGATCTTGACCGTAAGACTGTATACGAGATCATCAGCAGTCACGGTCGAGAGGAAGAGCTGCTCTACTTTGCTACTGTGGTCAACGACTACAACTACGTACTCTCGTACTGGGTGCAGCGTGAGCGTTGGCAAGAATCTCTGGACGTCCTCAAAAAGCAGACAGATCCCGAGATCTTCTACAAGTATAGCTCTGTGCTCATGGCCCACGTACCAGTCGAGCTCGTCGACGTAATGATGCGACACTCGAACTTCGACGCGCAGAAGCTCATCCCCGCATTCCTCAACTACAACAACCACACCAAGGCCACGCTGAACCAGAACCAAGCAGTCCGCTACCTTCTCTTCGAGATCAACCAACACAACTCAACCGACGCCGCCATCCACAACACCCTCATCTCCATCTACGCCTCCCACCCCACAACCGACGAATCCGCCCTCCTCGCCTACCTCGAAGGCCAATCTCTCGCTCACGAGCAAAACTACGACGCCGACTTTGCCCTCCGCCTCTGCATCCAACACAAGCGCGTCCAATCCTGCGTACACATCTACAGCTCCATGCAACAATACGCGCAAGCCGTGGACCTCGCCCTAAAATACGACGAAATAGACCTCGCCTCGAGCGTCGCCGACCGCTCCAACACCTCCCCTGTTCTCCGCAAAAAGCTCTGGCTCGCCATCGCCAAGAAGGTAATCTCGCAATCCAGCGGCATAAAAACCGCCATCGAGTTCCTGCGCCGCGTCGACCTCCTCCGCATCGAAGACCTCATACCCTTCTTCCCGGACTTCGTCGTCATCGACGATTTCAAAGAGGAAATCTGCGCTGCCCTCGAAGACTACAGCCACAAGATTGATGGCTTGAAGCAGGAGATGGATGACAGTGAGGCGACGGCTACGCATATCAAGTCGGATATCAAGGCCCTGGAACAGCGGTACGCGATTGTGGAACCCGGCGAGAACTGCTATGTATGTGGTTTGCCATTGTTGGCGAGGCAATTCTTTGTTTTCCCGTGCCAGCATGCTTTTCATAGTGATTGTCTTGCGAAGAGGGTGGTGGAGCTTGCGGGGATTGCGAGGGGGAAGCGCATCGCGGAGTTGCAGGCTGAGGTGCAGAGGGGGGTTAAGGTGGGGAAGGGGAGGGAGAGGGCGATTAAGGAGTTGGATGCGTTGGTTGGGAGTAGCTGGTGAGTCTTCCCTTGTATGAGGTGCTGTTTTCTTCTTTGCTGTGCTAACAACGTGTTTTAGTGTGCTCTGCGGTGAACTTGCCGTTAAGCTCGTCAACGAACCTTTCATCACCGCAACTGACAACAAGGACGAATGGGCTGTTTAGTTGAAAAGCTGAACACCCCGGAGCCCACGTTGACCTTGGCCCACCTACTTTGCATGTTTTTATCCTAATGTAGGCTCCAGGGTGTCCCGGATATACCTAGGTTGACGTGCAGCTTAAAGAAATCATCATCAGCACCAAAGCAAGTAAATCATACAAAGCAGTCGTATTGTACATTTTACTTTCAATTGCATCTCTATAAGCCCCGCCCCTGCATGTGGTGGTATACAAATTTTAGTAGTGCCGTACAATAAAACGGAGCTGATGATATGATTCCCCCGTTGTCTGCCCCCACTCCCGGAGACGCCGTAGCGCTGATGCAAGAACTAAGAAGAAAGGAAGAATAAGAGGCAACGATAAAAAAGGATTAGACGGATAACTTCAAACGAACGCCAGATGATACTTTTTCCAAGACTGTTGGCCTTCGCCGTGGAACGACAAGCGATAGCGCTACTCATCCTCATCATCGTCCATGGCGGTGTCACCATTAGCTTTCGGGGCAGCGATAGCATCGTCGTCTTCATCCTCATCGTCGACGACGCGGGCTTTGCGGGGACGAGGCGCAGCAGCAGCGGCACCTTCGTCGTCGCTGTCAGCCGAGCCACCAGCCTTGTCTCCGTCCTCAGCGGGCGCGGCACCGTCCTCGTCGCTCTCATCGTCGATGAACTCCGCGGACTTGTATTTACCGACTGGTTCGCTCTTGCGTGCGAGCTTCCTCTTCTTCTTCTCGCGGGGCCGCTCTTCGTCGGAGAGGTCCTCGGTGCCACTCGCTGTCGTCCGTCTGCGTCTTGAGCGTGGCTCGTCGTCGTCAGAGGGCAGGCCGTCGGTGTCGGAGTCGGCGTCCTTCTTCTTGCGCTTCGGGCCCTTGGGGCCACGGGCTTTGCGCTCGGCCTTGCGGACTTCCTTGTCTTCGTCTTCTTCCATGCGGCGACGCTCTTCTT